TAGCGCCTTTGCATCACAAAAAATAAGTGTATCATCAGCATATTGTAAGTGGGAGACCGTAATATTAGAATTCACAATCTTGGACCCCGTAAAGGCTCCCACCTTTTCCACCCTAGTCAACATTAAGCTAAAACATTCTGCATAAATGGTAAATAAGAATGGAAAAAGTGGATCACCTTGGTGGAGGCCTCTAGAAACATTGAAAAAGCCAATGGGACTTCCTTTGAAAAGTACAGAGAAATGAGCTGAAGAGAGACAACCATAAATCCAGTTTCTCCACCTAACTCTAAAACCCATTAACTTCATAATCTCTAACAATACCACCCACTTCATCCTGTCATATGCCTTTTTCATATCCAATTTTAGCAAAACACCCAACTCCTTGCTTAGCACCTAGGAATGGATACATTCTTGCGCCACTAGAACGCTATCAGTAATCTGACGGTCGTGAATAAAACTAGACTGTGAGGTTGAGATAAGTAAAGGAATGACCCTTTTGAGGCGCTCATCAAGAATTTTAGCAATACTTTTGTAAACACTGGACAACGAACAGATGGGTCTGATATCTACAAGCTCAAAAATTACATATTTTTTCAGAATCAAGGCCAGAAAGGTTGAGTTAATCCCTTTAAAAATATGATCTCTAATGAAAAAATCTTTTACCAACAACAATATGTCTTCCTTAACAATACTGCAAAATTTATGGACAAAACATAAGGGAAATCCATCTGGCCCAAGCGCCTTATCACCAGGCAATGCAAAAACTACATTTTTTACTTCTTCAATGGTGATCTCCTTCTCCAAAAAACCTCTACGCTCCACATTCAGCGTCTTAAAAAGAACATTTAAGAAGTTGGGAGTCACCATCACCTCCTTCGAAAAAGAATTCTTGAAATGTTGTATAATTCCCAACTCCATTGCAACACTATTATCATCATCAATCCCAAGAATGGACAAACCTAAGATATCATTCTGTCTTCTCCTAGCGATAGCAATTGCCTAAAAATACTTAGTGTTAAGATATCCTTCCTTCAACCACTTATTTCTCGATCTTTGTTTCTAATAAATTTCCTCCGATCTTCGTAACTCTTCTAACTCCTTGAGTTTCTCACAGTGCCCATTCATTGCTTGTTCCGTAAGCACACCATTCACTTGAGTATTACGATCCAGCACCTCAATCTCAGCTAGGATCCCCTCAATCTTAGCGTTAAGATCAATCTTATTCTCTTTCTTCTATGCAAGTAATATATGTTTGACATTCAGCAGTTTTTTTATGAAATTGGAAATCTAAGAAACCAACAACCTCAGTATTTAACCAAGTTCTACTGATAAGTTCAACCACCACTTTATCCTATAACCAGCTCAATTCAAATCTAAAAGGTTTTGGCCCACCTCTGAGACTCCCTGTATTTAAAAGAATAGGTAAGTGATCGGAGGATAATCGCACCAACGATTTGACAGAAACAAGAGAAATGAGTTCACCCATTCTGGCGCAATCAAGAACCTATCTAATTTTGACATTGCAAGATTATCTACACTATTATTGGACCAAGTAAACCTAGAACCAATAATAGGAGGGTCCAGGAATGCGTTCTCTTCAACGAACCTGTTAACTCTTCTCATAGAAGTATTTATAGGATGACCTGCTAAACATTCATCAGGCCACCTAAAAAGATTAAAATCTCCCCCAATTACAACTGGGTAGGACACAAAATGCATTGCCTCATTCATATCATTAATAAAGCCCACTTTTAAAGAAGAGATAGAAGGCCCATAAACATTCATAAAATCTCAAGAAAAGGATCCCAAAGAATCAAAATCCCACCAGAATTACCAATAGCATCAGTCCCATAAAAACAGACCTCCCCTAAGCCCCAAACTTCCCTAGCCTCAGAAAGAGTATGACTGAGAAGTTTGGTCTCTTGTAAAACCAAAATAACAAGTATAAACTTAAACTAGAAACAGAACATCCATTTTCCTTCTGGGGTCACCTAATCCCTAACATTCCAAGACAAAATATTCATTAAAAGAAATGGAAGAAAAGGAAGAAAAACCTGGTCCAGACAGAACCCCCCCCCCCCCAAAGATGATCATTTTAGACTAAACTGAACCACAAAACAGTCACTAGATGATCATTTTCAAAATAAAAAAGTTGAGTTTTGAATTTTATAATACTTTTTATTTCGATCTTTTTTTTTCTTTTTTTCTTTTTTTTAATCTGATACTAGTTTATGGATTATAGAGATTACATTGCCCAAAATCTGAGATCTAAAACATATTCATATCATCATGTGTTATGCCCGAGGAAGTAAATGGATAGTATACTCCCACACGAGTAGGAAACTTTTGGAAACAATTTTTTTTTTCATTATGAAATAAAAAGAGAAACAAAAAATCAATGGAAATGGAGGGAGCAGAGAACATGAAAAGAGGACAGAGAGGATCTCTACTCTACCTATCTCTCTCTCTCTCTCTCTCTCTCCGATCGTTCCCATTGAGTGCTGCGTGCATATTGTAGCTTGGTTGTTATAGATCTTCTTGCCCTTGATTTCATCTACATTTGTTTCTCTTTATGAATCCACATTGTTGTGTTCCTCTCATATGCTTCATTTTTTCTTATTTCCTCGGAGAGGGATGTGTTCCTCTCAATGCTTTTTGGACTCTTAGTACTTTCTTTTTCCTCTCTCACACACAGAGACCCTTTGTGATGCTCTTTCAATTTTGGATGGTCCATAAATTTCTGGGTTGTAGTCAATTGAGAGATTAGTGGATTTCATATGAATTTTTTATAATTAATTAAGGAATTGTATACAAAGAGATCATTTATCTGTTGTATATGAAAATCACAATCATTTTTGTCCCTTAAATTTCAAAATAAGTAGTTGCAATGTATGTTCATGAAAATTTGATTATTTTGTTGTTCATAGATAAGAAACCATATAGATTGTAGAGCTAGAAAGAATCCAAATAACAATGGCATTTTATTGCATTTGTCAAAAGCACTATTTTTGGAGTCGGCCAAGTAACTGCACACCTGTACAGATAATAATTGTTTTTTGGTTCCCAAAATTTTAATCTAAACTAATATTACTCATAAGGTGTCTTATGCGTAGCTGCACAGATGCTCCTGCAGGAGCATAGCATACGGGCTCCAATGGTTTTGTGTATGAGTTCCTTGTTGGTGAATGTAATTCACTCGTTTACTTTCTTGCCATAAAGTGGCCTCTCGTCCAAGTTTAATTATTCTGCTTAGGGCAAAAATGCTGCATTACCTTTTACGTATGATAATTGTCTATACCTAGACCCTGTATATTCAGAAAGGTTTCTATACTCCCCCTACTAGAAGATATATATCCCCCAATCCAGCCATTCAATTTTGATCAATGATTCACTGACCATTTGATTTAGATTCGACTCTTAAGACTATTTTATGTTAAATCTTTTCCTACAAATTATATGAATATAAAATTCGGTACTTGATATCATCTCAATGGGGTGCACATAAAAAAAAATTAAAAATGTTTTTGGTAAATATGATGATCAAAATACCCTTGAAATTTTTAGAGGCATTTTGGTCATTTTATTTTATTGAGAATATTTATTTTATATTTGTTACATGTGCGATTTTAATAGAGGAGTGGACACACAAAATTTGGTGTCAAAATGTTTCGTACAAAAATGTAAAAATAAAATAGTATAGAAGTGTGGCATTGTGATTGGGATCATCTCAACCGTTCATTCAAAATGGATGGTTGGATAGGGAGAGGTATAGAAGTTTTATACATTAGGAGAAATATGAAAAGCTTGCCCTTGTATATTATTGAGCAGCACATATGTACATGTTTTCCCAAAAAAAAAAAAAAAATGGTCATGTGGTGGCCCTTTTCAATGGTACCTTATCTTGTTCTCCATGTCCGAGCCTTATCATCAATCTCTTGTGAAACCACTCAAAACAAAAATGAGAGAGAGATTACCTTCTTTCAAGTAGAAATCGACTCCATGGTTGTTCGCCTCAAAAACTTGCAAGCTCCACGTGACCGGTTCTCCCTCTACCCAACCTTTAAATTATTTCATCATCCCCAAAACCCACCGACAAGCCAAACCCTAGCCATCGCCAACGAAACCCTAGCCAAACCCAAATCTCTGTTGACTGCTCTAATCAATAGAGCTCCCCTAACTCCAGAAACTATGTTTGTACTTGGGGGATTTGAGCTCACTTAGAACACGTTTTTCTTCCCTTTATGACTATTTGAATATTAAGTTTTTGGGTTTCCGTAATTGGGATATCTGATCTTCTCTCGTCAAACGGGGCTTCATGATTCTACATTAATCTAGTTTCATTTTTATTATGGCTAAGAAATTCCTTTTCAAAGTGAAATAAGAAAAATCCTCAAACTTAGTTCACTTCCTAGAGCTAAACCCATAGGCGTACATAATTGAATCGATACACATAGGCCCAGTTTGGATGGATCATTGAATTAAAAGCAAGACTACTTTCACCCTTGTCCATTACTGAATAGTTTTATCATCAGTGATAAAATTTTAGGTAAAAAATAAAATGATATGTGAAAATTACAAAAAAGGTCGGTCAATTAGTTTTTTTTTATATTTTTTTCAAAATTACCCCTCTATCAACTTGAATTTTTTTTTTATTTTTTAGTTTTTTTTGTTAGTAGGGCAGTGCCCCAAAGTTTAAGGCATTTCCCTACTAATGAAAAAACTAAAAATAAAAAATAAAAAATAAAAAAAAAATCAAAATTCAGGTTGATTGAAAGATAATTTAAAAAAAAAAAAAAAAAACAAGTTAACATACTTTCTTTGTAATTTTCGCATATACGTCAAGCATTTCGTATTTTACGTAAAATTTTAAGATTCGTATGTAAATCATTCTTTTATCATTACTGTATAGTTTTAGGAAGTGCTTGTCCCATTCCAGCTACTCCAGTTTGGCACCCTCGGTTATTCGGAAACCAACACAAAATGCTCACAACCCTACTACAAAATAAAAAACTTGCCCAAAGTTTTATGGCTTGGACCATAATTTACTTAATAGAATCTTACAAGAGCTGCAACTTCTATTTCCAGTTATCCCATGGCACTTAAATTAATTTACAGAAAGAGAGAGATAGACAAAGAGTAGTAGTAATAAAAGTAGAAGAACAAATTTTCTATGTCATGGATACCAGCCATTTACAGTGGTTCCACCATCAACACAAATGACTTGGCCTGTGATATATGATGCAGCTGGCATGCAAAGGAATGCAACTAGACCTGCAACTTCTTCGGGCTCCCCTATCCGCCTCATCGGAGTTCGAGCAATGATCGACTGTAACATTTCCTCATTTGCTAGAAACTGTGGTAGATAGTAGATGAGTGAATCATAAATAGATTTATTTGCCACAAATAATTCTTACTTCCATGGCTATTTAATTGTGATAAAGTTCATACATCTTTCACAAGTGGCGTCGTTATAAACCAAGGCGATACGCTGTTGGTCCGGATATGGTCCTTCGCCCACTCACAAGCTAGGTTCTTAGTAATTTGATTTATTGCGCCTGAAACAAACTTCAAATAAGAGAGAAAAAAAATAAAAATAAAAATAAAATAAAATCCATATTCATGCTTTGTTAAAATAAAATCCATATTCATGCTTTGTTAAGGACCATTTGGGTGCACATGATTTTCAAACCCTGATTATTTCCAAAACACTTCAAAATAACCACAAGGATAAAAAATGAACCTGCTCTTTATCCATTCCCATTGAAAAGGGACTTTTTTAAATGGATATGACTACTTAAGACTACACTTTCTCAGGAGGCGATATGGTTATAAGAGTTAAGATTGTTATTTGTTTGATAAGACTAGTAGCTTGTCCAAATATACATATGGTCAAGCTCGGGATCTTTCAAAAATCAAAACATTCATTTAAAAAATCTAAAAAAATACGAAAAAATTATTTGTAATGTGTTTTTGTATGTGTTCTATTATTTTGACAAAAATTGGGAAGTGTTTTTGCTTATGAATATTTATTTTTTATATTTTTCCCTCTTTAGATTATTTTTAAAAGGGAAAGGCTTATATACTTCCCCTATAGCATAGAAGATCTAGCCATCTAATTTTGATCAAGAGAGCCACTCACCGTTTGATCTTAGATCCGACGTCACAAAGTATTTTATTTTTAGTTTTTTTATTACAAATTGTGTAAATATGAAATTAAGTACGTACCATCTTCTCATTGGGGCGCACCTATAAAAAATATTAAAAATAATTTTTTGATAAAATATAATGACCAAAATACCCCTTGAAACTTTTAAGGGTATTTTGATCATTTTATTTTATTGGAAATATTATTTTTTTATTTTTAGCTAGTGTGAGTTTAATAGAGGATTGGACGTACAAAATTTGGTGTCAAAATATTTTATAGACAAAAAAATAAAAATAAAAATAGTATAGAGACGTGACATTGTGATTGGGGTAATCTTAGCCCTCAATTCAGAAGGGACGGTTGGATGAGGGGAAATATATAAGTTTTATGTTGATGGGTAAACATATAAAACTTGCCCGATAATGCCCATGGTCTCAAATTAATGTTTCAAAATTAATTTTTCATTATTTTTTTAACATCATTTTGATGTATTTTGTTTAATTTTACTTTAAAAACATATTTTTTCATATTGTTTGGCGTTGTTTGTAGTTTTATTATTTTTTTAACGCTTTTAGCCCTGGCCAATACCTGTGTGACTCAGGCAAGTTACCCAGAACACTCGCCCCAGCCCAAAGCCGGGTATTGTGCCCAGGTCAAGGTTTCCTACATTGACACATACACACATGAGAGAGAAAGAGAGAAAGAGCAATTAAAAAACGATGCAAACAATCAAAGAGTTGAAGCTTAATGTTACCTTTGGTTGCTGCATATGGAGTGCCCACATCTACAGCAACCACCCCAGCAACAGAGGATACGAATACAATGCTTCCTACTCCTGTTGATTTTAGAAGAGGATGCGAGAGTTGACACATATGGAAAGCAGATCCAAAGTTGGTTTCCATTACAAAGGAGAGTTCCTCAGCTGTGTACTCGACTGTGGGTTTTGTTATGCATGTCCCAACATTGTTCACCTGAAAGCCATGAAACCCAATGAACACATCACTTGTTACTACATAATTGATTATGTCCAGAGTATATACAGATGGGTTTATCTACGGGGGGAAAGCTTTCTATACTTCTCCAATGATATAATTTTTTATACCCACGCTCCCCCCACCCCCTAATCAAGTCATCCAATTTAGATCAAGTAAGGCACTGACTCTTAGATCTAGATCCGACTTCTTGGAGTACTTAATTTTTTATTTTTTTCTACAAATCATATCAATGTAAAATTTAGTATGTGACATCATCTCAATGAGATGCACCTAAAATATATTAAAAAATATTTTTTAAAAATAAAATAAAAAAAATACCCCTAAAAATTTCAAGGGTATTTTGACCATTTTATTTTATTGATAAAAATTTTTGTTAATTGTTTTTGCAGGTGCATGTTTAGGAGAAAAGTGGATGCCCAAAATTTGGTGTCAAAATGCTTTGTAAATAAAAGAAAAATCTAAAAATAAAATATTGTATAGCTGTGACATTGTGATTAGGTCCATGTTAATCATCCATTCAGATCGGATAGCTGGATAGTAGAAAGTAGATAACTTAGCAAGGGAAGTATAAAAAGCTCTCCCTTGTCTATAATACAAGGAGTTGTGTGCATATTTATAAGTAACATTTGTAGCTAAAGTATTTTCAATTAGTGAATGTGCCTATGGCCGCATCCGAATGAACCAGAGTTTGTGAACAACATAATGTTTTCCCTCCAAATTTAGGATCGAAAAACGTCCTAAAACGTCTGAGACCCGGCAACAAAGAACACTTGCTTCTCCCCATTTATGAAAAACAATTTCTTTTTGTAGAATTGTTTTGAATCCAAATTGGGCCCGATTCTTTTCACTACAACATTCATCAATTTTGTAAATTATGATGTCCATCCAATTTAAAAATACTTCCGGCTAACATATTTTTTATGCCAAAGAGATTATGGGATGGCATATATCCATCTTCAACCTTAATCTTTTAGTGAAGCAAGAAATGCACTTGAATTTTGTAAAGAAAAACATATGCAACTCTTTTATGGGAAGTGCAGCACAGCAGGAGAATATATGATACTTACAAGGATATTTAGCTTCCCCTTAAAATGTGCAGAAACAGATTCAATCAATTTCTCCCGATTAGGTTTCGATGATAGATCACAAACTAAACCGTGAACATTTAATCCCATCCTCTTCCACTCATGCAAGCATTGGTTAAGTTCGCCTTCATTGCGAGCGCATGTATAAACTGATGCTCCGAGTCCAGCTAATTCTTCTACTATAGCACGCCTGCACAAAGATTGAACAAATGCACATGTTATCAAATGTTTTTTTGGTGAAAACTTCCATTGATGTCATGATAATAATATCAAGACATAAATTTAGATAGAAAAAGAGGTGGCGATTTTGCAACGCTACGTCCTAAGCTCAATTCCCACCAAGGGTAGGAACCCTTTTCCTATTGACTCACCCAAAAAAAACCAAAAAAAGCATAGATTTAGATCTCAATGTAGCTTAGAGACAGAGATAAAAAAAGGTTTAGATTTGACCTTATCCAATGGAAACTACAGTAGGAGAAAGTTCGACAGTACATCGGGTCACTGTCGAACCAGATCATAAATCCAGATAGGCAATCTGGGTCACCAAACCGGTTGTTAAAGCCTTGTGTAGAACTATTAGTATGTATCGGTTATATGCTATGCAATCATCCAAACCTTGGACCTAAGTTGGGTCCAGGCCGACCCAGAACCAAACCGACCCAACCCATTAAAAACATGCCATGCCGGGTATACAAAAAAATGATATGCAAGCTTGAAAGAGCCCACTGTTATTTACAATTAACTAAATATGTCTTCGCAATTGATTAATTGTAAGAAAATGCTCTATGAAATCGACTAACCTCTCGATTAACTACAACCAAGAAAGTTACCAAAACTGTGTGTTTTTTTTTTTTATAGAGGAGGAAAAAAACAAAAAAACGAAATAATTTGAGATTTGATGGGAACACCATTCTGTGTGTGTGGAAATAAGGACAATATTAGTCCATTAAGAAACAAATGTAAATGCAATCGAAAGCGAGATCTAAGAATAACGAAGGCACAATATGCATGCAACAGAAAATGAAAAAGACCAGAAAGACCACAGTTAGAAAGAGAGAAAGACCCAATTCCTTTGGTTCCCCCTGTAACCAAGGCAGTCATGCAACGCAGGGACCATCTCTCTTCTCTTTTCATCTTCTCCGCTCCCTCCATTTCCATTGATTTTGTCTCTTTTTTTACCTCTTTTCACACAAGCCCTAATCTATTAGGGTAGTTTATCTCTTATACATAGTTTCTGCAACTTGTCAAACAAAAGAAAAAATGGTGGTGTCTTGGAAGTCCTTGTACCTTGTCTATAAATCTGGTTCACTCGTTTTTTTTCCGGTGATAAGGTGGGCCCCTTGTCCAAATTTAACTAGGGTAGATGATTAGATTTGTGTTCCGAATGTAAAAATGGATGTAGTTTTGATAAAAGGGTCCACCTATACCTGCATCATAGTCATCACATTCCGGTTTTTATTTATTTCTATTAAGATTTTCAAAATAACAATTGTTTCATGGAAAATGGCATGCATTTCTACATTGGGCGGTTCAGAAGTATAAAGCATCCATTTGAAAGATGGATACAGATAGATAGTCTATCTAAAAACAATTGTAACTAACATTTTAAATATCTTTTTAATATAATAATTATTTTTAGTTTTTAAAATTTATATTTTTTCATATTTATGATCTCTATATTAAAGATTATATATTTTTTCAAAATTAAGATCAAATTTATTTAAAAATATATATTTATTGTTAGGCCCGCATTTCTATAATATGCGGGCTGGTCGCATGTCAACCACGTTCTTTTCAAAAAACAAGCTTCTCAACTATTTCAAAAATAAAATGTTTTTGTACTGGCAAGGTTCTAAACAATTAAATTGTGGTTTTCATTCCCACATCACCCCACTGACATGTTGCACAACCTAATTTCTAAACTATTTGAAAAAGAAAAGCTTTTATATACGGGTGATGATATACACAATCAAATTAAGGTACACTTCAAAAATTAACTAAAAGAGGTTGTTTCGATGCCCAAAAATTCCTCAAATCAATTATCTTGACATTAAGAGGCATAGACATGAGATAAAATATAGGAAAAATTAGAAAAAAAAACCCAAGACTACATTTTCTATACAACTTACCCCGACTTAACTTTTTTTCTCACTTTTTTTCCCAAAACAAACTTTCTATGAAAATACCCACCCAATAGAAAATGTTTATTTTTTAAAACAAAAATATCCTTCCCGTACACAAAATTCATTTCGGCCAAATTTAATGTTGACTTTTGGACCCAAGTGCCGGACCGTCCTAAAACAACTACCAGACTGAAACTGAGTATTGTCAGACCGCCTTTTACATAGTGTTGGAGCCTTGGAATCCAGTAACATTTACAGGCGGACTGCCTTTGCAACTGTTGGACCGCCCTTTGTAACTGTTGGCCTGCACTTTACACAGTGCTAGAGCCTTACTGCTAAATTACACTTACACAGTACTGGAGCCCTACTGCCGGACCAACCCTTAGATATTGTCAGAACCCCTATTTTAATGGTAAAGTAAAAGTAAGGGAGGGTAGTTTAGGTATTTTTTTATTTTTTTATTTAGTTGGGGGTATTTGTATAGAAAGTGTATTTTGGGGAAAACAGTGAGAGAAAAAGTTAGGTTGGGGTAAGTGGTATAGACAGTGTAGTCTTGGTTTGTTTTTTTTTTGCAATTTTCCTTAAAATATATTTCAAGTCTTGGAACCAGTACATCTTATAATGCATTTTCTGGACCATCAATTTTTAAGATTGCCATGCTTTCATAAATGTGATTGATCTACACTATTTTTGGAGTTTTAAATTTTATAATTAGACATGAAAATAAATTTCAAGGCATCACAAAGATTTCCAAGACTAAAACAACATCTTTCAACAGAATTTGAAGGTGTGCATTGCTTTGATGGTTTAGGGCCTTAGCCCTATATAAACCACACCATTTAAAAAAACGCGTAGGGGCATGTCTTTCCCACTGAATTACCCAAAAAAAATGGATAAGTTGTGGTTTCTCTAATATAGGGTAAAAATAAATAGTATAAAATATATTAATTTTAGAATCATTTTTTTTTCTACACATTCATAATCTCCATATTTGAGATTATATATACCTAAACATTGAGGTCCAGAGTCCGCCTAAAAAATGGATCATAAAATCTGTTTCTAAGGTAATTATTTTTTCCCCTAGGATAAGGGCAAGCTTTGTATGCTTCCCCTACAACATAAAACGTACATACTTCCCTTTATCCAACCATCTATTATGAATGGATAGCTAATATTGCCCCAATCACAATGTCACATCTCTACACTATTTTATTTTTAATTTTTTTCTATAAACTATTTTGACACCAAATTTTGGATGTCCAATCCTCTATTAAACTCGTACTAGCGAAAAATATGAAAACAATATTTCCAATAAAATAAAATTATCAAAATACCCTTGAAATTTTTGAGGGGTATTTTGGTCATTATATTTTATCAAAAAATTATTTTTAATATTTTTCATGAGTTTGCCGCAATGAGATAATGGTACGTACCAAATTTCATATTCATACAATTTGTATAAAAAAAAACTAAAAATAAATTATCTTAAGACGTCAGATCTAAGATCAAACGGTGAGTGGCTATCTTGATCACAGCATACAAGTTCTAGCCTCCCCTTACCATCCAGCCATCCAATTTTGATCATGAGAGTCACTCACCATTTGATTTTAGATCTGACATCTCAAAATATTTTTTTTAGTTTTTTTATACAAATTCTATGAATATGAAATTTGGTACGCACTATCTTTTCATTGGGGAATACCTATAAAAAAATATTCAAAATAATTTTTTGATAAAAGATAATGATCAAAATACCCCTTGAAAATTTCAGGGGTATTTTGGTCATTTTTTTATTGAAAATGTTTTTTTTTATATTTTTCGCTAGTGCAAGTTTAATAGATGAATGGGTATCCAAAATTTGGTTTCAAAATAGTTTATGGAAAAGCAATTAAAAATAAAATGGTGTAGAAATATGACATTGTGATTGGGGCAATCTTAGGCCTCCATTTAGAATGGACGGTTGGATAAATGAGAGAATAGAACTTGTATGCGGTAAGGGACGCATAGAAAGCTTGCCCATATTTTTTATATCTAAATAATGCTCTTGCTTGTATTTACCCCCTTTAAAAAGTCAACAAATTTGAGATGAAAAATACCATTTTCAATTGCTTCCTCTATATTTTGTACTTCTAGGTTTTTAGTGCTTCTCTCTGTATATGCCCAAAATCTCTCTCTCTTTCTATCGAAATCTCTAGTTTTCTCTCTCTTTCTATCGAAATCTCTAGTTTTCTCATATGCCTGGAATCTTTCTCTCGGCCCAAACTCTCCTCTGTGTCTCTCAATCGAAATCTTTGAATATCTCTCGTTCGCTCTCTCTACCCAAACTCTCCTGTCCTTGTACCGCAATATCTAAATATCTTTGTCTATACTAAAAAATATCTCTGCTCTTTCTCTCTCTGCCCAAACTCTTCTTCTGAAGGAGTTAAAAGTTGACAAATTTACCAACATTTTTATTGAGAAATTAACCAGCATTTTTACTGAACTGGTGAGTATTATAGAGAGAGAAATTAAAGCATTTTTAACTTTGGATCTTATTTTCTACTATTTACATCACTATATGATCATATTGTTGGAGAGAGAGAGTCTATTTTGTTGCCGAAGTCCCTCATTCATATGGTAACTTTGCAAACATAAATGTAAAATATGAAAGCGTGGTATTGTGCATATAATACGGTCCGACATTTAGTGTGCCGGATCGCATTATTGGCATCTTTTGAAATTCTAATCAGTTCACACATTGGGTACCGAACCAAAATTGTTTTGTGGTCTGATACAAAAATATGTGGGATTGTAAAAAAAATTTGGTGAAATATTTCAGTCAAGAGATAAAGAGAAAACTACGTGAATAGTGTAGCACTCTCGCATTTGAGAAGAGCAAAAAAAAAAGGAGGTGTCCGAGATGAAAGTCCCCAATTCGAGGAAAAAGGAGGGTGGCAAATTTGGAAGTGGATTCCATTTGATGGACTATGGTGTCATTTTGCACTAGTTGGTGCTTTTTCATTTTCAATTTTTAAATCAGTTCGAATTGAAATTTGAACGTTTGTGAGTCTCTTTGAGGCGTATAAGTAAAAATATATCTAAAAACATTGACGAATATGTATGACAAAGAAATAACCCTCAAAGTTTTGGAGGTCTTTTCTGAAAAATTTATTTTATATTTTTTTAAGCTATGTCAGCATTAGAGGTATTGACACCCTAAATTTTAGCACATTCCCATGGGACTGTCACTATAAGCAATAAATGTGTTTTTTGTTTTTTTTTGGGTAATTAGCATTGAAAAATGTTGAATATCAATATTTCGCATGCCCCGCCACAGCTGCTTCCACAAATTACAGAGGAAAAAGGAATTGCAAATATTCAACAATGGCTGGATGATAAAGTATTCCACTGTGAGATGGATGTGAGGACTAGATAATCCTTGTGGAAAAAATTAAAAGATTTGTAAGAGAAGCAGACAATGGGTAATGAAGCCTTCGTGATTAGGTGATTGGTCAATTTGAAGTTTAAATAGGGGAAATCTGTGGGTGCACATTTAAACCAGATATGGAGTATAATTAATCAGCTATCATTTATGAAGATGCTGGTAGATGATGAAAAAGAAGCCTTCTTGTTGCTTAGATCGTTGCCAAACATTTGTGAAATAATGGGTTTTCTCCCTGAGCAACTCAGCATCTGAAGTAAAAGAGACCATGAATCAAGTGACCAGTAGCTTGTTAAGTGAAAAATAAGGAAAATTTCGTTGCGTTCCTCTCGACGACAAGATTTAGTCGCTAGGAGCAGTGAGTGAAGTAACATAAAGATCAACACATTCATTATAACTCAAGAGGGAGATACAAGTCAAGGAAAGGATCATCTGTTATTAATGTGATATGGCTGGGAATACATAGAAAATTCCATAAAGCCCAAGCAAACAGAAGAAAAGGGCCAAGATAAA